TTGAGGACTCATGAGGAATGGCCACTGGCTGAGCTGGGGGTACTGGTGAGGGATGTTGTGCAGCTGAAGTATTAGGGAGAGACTTAGCTAGCTGTCTAAGTACAAATGTGAGGTCCTTGAAAAATGTAGCCTCTTCAACCCCCGCATCTACTAGTACTTGCATCTGAAATGTATCTGAGACAAACTCATCGCCATAATCTACTGCTAGTGATATATGAATCTCATCCCTACCCTCCTAACTATGGGTTGAATCGTCTAACATGGGTGTTATATGAAATTAGAAAGAGAAATGTGATCATCATCGTCATTCCAGTTGTTATTGTACTCTTGACTCCCGAGAGGTATGTGCATATACAGACACTGCCTGACTCTAACCCACGGGTCCTAAGAATGACTAAACTTAGACACTATAATACCACTAAATGTAATACCCTAATCCAATTCGATCTCAAGATCCATGGATTACAACGTCACACGGGACTACTGAAATAGTAACCTAAAAGTTTTCCTTAAAATATGTTTATAATCACTGAAAATAAACCATTCATAGTAATAAATAAAACAAGATAACCTGGGTTTACAAAACGATGAGGAGCTCCCAAAATACATTTAAAACAATAAAACACCTAGTACCAAATAAAGTTACGACTGAATACAAAATGTGTCCACAATAGTACATGCCCTCTAAAATGACTCAAGATGTACTCTGAAGGTCTCTGCTAGTTTGAACTAATGCATTAAAATGTCTAGTGAAAATAATTCCCCTTGAACTGCCCCTAAGAACCTACTCACGAAAACACATTCTGAACATTGAGATTACTAGCTCAGTGTCTTACTAATAACTGTACTATGCTATATGCATTCACTAAATGAGATAGTTGATGTCACATATCCAAACATATAAAGCTACTGATTAACTACTTAGTAGTCATCATGGTGCAGCTGAGGATTCTGCATCTTGGAGCTCACACATCCTTCTAGCCCTTTTGAGATACACTCAGGTATCTAGGGTTAGATCTAGAGCTACATCAGAAATGTACACCCGCCAACTCACTCCATTAAGTCTTGAGGCATCTGCGCCCAATCGGCTACTAAGTGCCTTTGATATCTACTAACTTTCATAATTCTTCTAAGAGGAACTCGAGTGTCCTGGCTATTTCTCGAGCTTCAAACAAGGCTAGTTTTATGTAACCCTAGCTGTTACCATTTCTACTATTATGATATTTATTATTGTTCCCGCTTGAAGTCTTATTTGATGTTGTTCTAAGTATATGGGGTGCCTCGAGACTGATCCCTTAATCCTTGGATTATTTATCCAAAATTGTTTATGGGTACCGATACTAACCATTCAATATTGATATTTAACCTTTGGTATCGATAACCATCTGTTGGTCTCGATACCCTTTAACTGATGTGGTTTTTTGGGTTAAGCCAGTATCGATACCCTAGAATGAGTATCGATACTACGATACTAGGGTATCGATACTTGACTGAGTATCGATACCAAATTTTGGTTTGATATTTTGAAAAATACCCTATTATCGATACCCCTATAAGGAGTATCAATACTTCTGCACCGGGTATCGATACTTTTTTGAATGAGTATCGATACTACTCTTTTAAAGTTGTCTAATTTTTGCATGAATAGTGAACAGTAGTGATACTATTCTTACAATATCAATACCGTCTGTTTTGGTATGAAATATCCCATCTTTCTGCACCAAATGCCCCATTAAGGTCCCCAACTAATGTTTAAGTATTTTATTTGATATTAGGGGTAATAAATAAGTCTTAACACATGCTGAAACACCTAAATTATGAATCTACCATGAAAATGCTTCAAGCTTATGCAACCTACCAAATCTCATCTAAATGAGCTACACATGGTATATGTGAGTTAAAAATGAGTTACCTTGAGCGTCTAGACTGTTGAGAGAGTAAATGGCTCAACCTAAGGTGAGATTTTCTTTCCCTTTTTCTTGAGAGCCTTCCCCAACTTCTCTCATTATAAGAGAATCAAAGCATTGGTTACTAACTAGTTTTAGGGATTAATAAGGGTTTAAAGACACTTCCTAAAACTGTAAATATCCAAAAATGGGCTAAAATCTTGAAATCTCTTAAACCCCACAAAAATATGTTCTTGATTCCCAAGGTGAAATGGAGAAGTTGAGGGCTCAATCTAAAGCTCTGAAAATGTTAAGTTCAAACATGACCTTGGATTGCTAAGAGGTGCTGGAATTAAGCTAAAGTTTCCACCTTTGCTCCAGCTTCCAAAGGGAGAAGGAGATGGTAAATGGAAAGGGAAAAATACAAGACAGACTTGAGGAAAAAAGAAGAAGGGGACAACGTGAGATCACCCACAATTAAGAACTATCCAGCTTTTGAAATCTTTAATGGTGAAATTACTTCCTTAGTCTCTCTGATTCTGAGTGTAAACTAAAAACACCATTTTTTACTCTTCATTGGGCTTGGCTTAAGCCCAAATCCATCTCAATTTGGGTCAAAATCGTCATAAACTAAGGAAATAAATTTAAGGCCCAACTCAGGTTAGACCAAACCTCCTAACCCAGAATCTGGGGGCATTACAGTCTTGCTAGAGATCACTTATAACTTGCAGGATCAAATATGATCTTGTCTACTGTCAACGTTAATTAAACCTATAGGATTGCACATTAAGAATGGATAAGAATAGATGTGTTTATTACTCTCAATAATAATATAAGATAATGAGATTATTTTAAATGGGCTATTTATTATTCGAATTTAAGAAGCTAAATTCATATTCTTTTGAAAGAATATGTTATTTATTATTATTATTTATTTGATTCAAGAATAATGTTAAATAATATATTTATTAAGTTTTGATTGAAATTAAATTCCTTATCAAATAAGGGATATGATCTAATTGTTATTTAAATTAATTAAAAACGTATGATTTAGCTTAACCCTAATCAAGTCATATATATATAAATATTATATGCATGAGGGTAAGATTAATTACTCATCCAAAACCAAAACCACAAAATAGATTTTGAGAAAAACATATTAGAACTAACATTCTATAACTATTTATCGTTTGTTCGCGTGTGGATACTTGTAGAGGGTGGTCGTTTTTTAGAAAGGTAGAACATTTAGAGATCGAAACAAAATCAAAGACATCATAGAACAATTTTTGAATCAAAGATTAAAGTAATCTCACGACTTTATTTTATCATTGTTAGTATGATATGCATGAGATTCTAAAATTAACCAATGTTATTTAAATTTTCGTTACGTTTTCCTTGCCTTGATTTTCAACATCTACCGCCTCGTCCACCCCTCAATCCATCTCTAAAAGCCCAAAAAGTGAGTATATATATTAAAGAAAACACAAGAGAAAGCCTTGATTGAACTTCATCAGGGATAACAAATGATGATAAATGATATAAATCCAATAATTGGTGATGAATCTCATCTTCTTATATAACTTTTTGGCAAGTGATTTTATTATATTATCATATAAGCTTGGAAATAAAGATATCAGCAGCATGCATGCACATGTTGAAGGATTAAAAACCTTAATTTTAGAAAGAGATTATTTATTTATCTGAAAATAAATTTATTTTTGTTAATTCTGAATAAGATAAATTATTATTTTAAAACCTTTTCAGTGTCACCATGAGACCTTGATATAGTTGGGGTGCAAAATATATTTTATAAGTTTTCATATAATATCTAAATTATTTATATTTTATCTATTATTTATTTAAAAACATTTAAAATATTTTAGTTTATTGTAAGAAATGATAACAAAGTTATATTAGGGATGGATAAAACGAGACATGACAAAATTTTGATCATTCTAATTGCTACACGATATATTATAATATTTCATTGAACTTATACGTATCCCAAATAATTAAGATAAATTCTTTGTTGTCGTTGTACCTCGATTTTAGGGTTTTATCTTAATCAATTTGCATTGATCCGTATCATATATCTAATTTTAATGAGTACATTTCTTAGTAGTGATTTAGTATGGACAGATTAGATAAAATTAGAAACATCGAAATGTAATAAAAGTAACAAACATGAAGAAATTTTAAATAAAATATAAACCCTATATTGAACTTATTGAATGGTATTGATAATAATTTTTTTATTTAGAAAAATTAGATTTAAACAACTACGTCTAATAAATTTGAAATTAAAATATTAAATCTTAAAATTAAACCATAATAGTATTACTTATAAAATCTAGGGCAAATTACTTGTTTAGTATTTAGACTGTCAGTTTTGGTCTGTTTTAGTACATAAACTTTTAATTTTTTAAAACCATACATAACGTTTAGTTTTTGTTTCATTTTAGTACATTGCTGTTAAAAACTTAACGACACTTCATCTTTTATGGGTAAATTACATCATTCATCATTCATCACTCAACTATCTTCTTACTCTAATTTTGGTACTAAAGTTTGTAAATGTGAGATACTAAACCGAAACAAAAACTAAATATTTGATATGATTTTTAAAAAAATTAAAAGTTTAGATACTAAAATAGACTAAACTGATAATTTAGGTATTGAATGCGTAGTTTACCCTAGAATCTAATAAAGTCCTATGATTCCGAAAGACATGATTTTGGTTTAAAGTCAAATAATAATATTAAAAAAATGGTTCCTTGAAGAATTGTCCAAAGCAAAATACAGAACGGAAGCTACGCGTTTGGCGTACATTCGAGGCGCGTGAATACGTCAAAAAGTGCGTACGTGGATAACAATCATCCCGCAACAAGAAAAACATGTTATTATCCAAAACAAGACGACAACAGTACCTTGCACGTGACAAAAAACCCCTCGAACGTGGCGCAATCTAACCAACGGCGGCGAAGGATTCCCCGCCGTCCGATACGTCGCGCTAAAAGGATTATTCGTGAACCTATCAGGAAATCGGGAACTAATCGAATCAAAGAAGAAGTTTTTATTTTATTCTTTAAAAAAAGGGGCTCTGATTGAAGGGGGGAAATGGTGTCAAATACTTGTTACTGTACACGATTGTTGGCTATAAATAGGAGTCGTTCTTTCAATTATCTTCCCTCTAAATCTAAACAGCCTGGAAATTCACTGTTCTCTCCAATCTTTTCAAAGCTAAATCTTCAAAGACGTTTTAATTCTGGGTTTTCCAGAGTTTCTCATAATCCAGCGTTGTCGGTGTTATCTTTTAAGGTAATTCTAAGCTCGATTTTAAGTGTTTGATGTTTTGTTTTCATGGTTTCCGAAAATGGGTTAATTTTGTTTTTTTGTTGTTGTTGGAATTTTCAGAGAAGTGATTTAAAGAAGCAGGAGGAGGAGGAGGAAGAAGAAGAAGGGATGACGATTAAACCGGCCGTTCGGATCGCCGAGAGGAAATTAGTCGTGAAGAACCGGACAATCCTAACCGGAGTTCCCGAAAATGTTATGGCGACGTCCGGCACGGGGTCCGGTCCGGTGGAGGGGGTTTTCCTGGGAGCTGTTTTCGACGAAGAGAACAGCAGGCACGTGTTGCCCATCGGGACTTTACGCGACGTCCGGTTCATGTCGTGTTTCCGGTTCAAGCTATGGTGGATGGCCCAGAAAATGGGAGATCAAGGCAAAGACATACCCATGGAGACCCAATTCCTATTGGTGGAAACCAAAGAAGGGTCCCACCTGGATTCCTCCGGAGAAAATCAGATCGTTTACACCGTCTTCCTCCCGTTGATCGACGGCCCGTTCCGAGCCGTTTTACAAGGGAACCAGGACGACGAACTCGAACTGTGTTTAGAGAGCGGCGACGCCGACACCAAAGCGTCGTCGTTTACACATTCCGTTTATATCCACGCCGGCACCGATCCTTTCGCTACAATCACGGAAGCAATCAGGGCCGTCAAGTTACATCTCAGAACTTTCCGGCAACTACATGAGAAAAAATTGCCCGGAATCGTCGACTATTTCGGGTGGTGTACCTGGGACGCTTTTTACCAGGACGTGACTCAAGAAGGCGTCGAAGCTGGGCTCGAGTCTTTAGCAGCCGGCCGAACGCCGGCGAAGTTCGTGATCATCGATGACGGATGGCAATCCGTAGGAGGCGACACAAACAGGGAAGAAACTCCGTCGTCATCTGCTGATCAGTCGGAAACGAAACAACCGCCGTTGCTCCGTTTGACGGGGATAAAAGAAAACGAGAAATTCCAGAAGAAAGACGATCCGAAGGTGGGGATCAAAAACATCGTCAACATCGCAAAGGAGAAACACGGGTTGAAGTACGTGTACGTCTGGCACGCGATCACCGGGTACTGGGGCGGAGTCCTGCCCGGGGTTGACGAAATGGAAGGATACGGGTCGAAAATCCGGTACCCGTTGGTTTCCAAAGGAGTGGTGCATAATGAACCGGGTTGGAAAACCGATGCGATAGCGGTTCAAGGGTTGGGTTTAGTGAACCCGAAAAATGTGTACAAATTTTACAACGAATTGCACAGTTATCTGGCGGATGCGGGCATAGACGGAGTTAAGGTGGACGTGCAGTGCATTTTGGAAACCCTCGGCGCGGGTCTCGGCGGCCGAGTGGAGCTGACGAGGCAATATCATCAGGCTCTCGATGCATCGGTCAACCGGAATTTTCCCGGTAACGGGATCATCGCTTGCATGAGCCATAACACCGATGCACTCTACTGGTGATTTTCTTTTGATTGTTATTGTAATTTGAATTTTTGAATTTAGGGTTTTGTTCTGATGTTTGAATTGTGTCGAAACAGTTCGAAACAGACGGCGGTCGTAAGAGCGTCGGACGATTTCTACCCCCGGGATCCAGTCTCACACACCATCCACATTGCGGCGGTGGCCTACAACAGCGTTTTCCTTGGTGAATTTATGCTGCCGGATTGGGATATGTTCCACTCTCTTCATCCGGCCGCCGAGTATCACGCCTCGGCACGCGCTATTAGCGGCGGCCCGCTCTATGTCAGTGATGCCCCCGGACGACACAACTTCGAGCTCTTGAAGAAACTCGTGTTGCCTGATGGGTCCATTCTCCGTGCTCGTTTGCCTGGACGGCCTACTCGCGATTGCTTGTTTACGGATCCGGCTCGTGATGGTGTTAGGTAAGATCAGCTCTTGAGCTCTGTTCATCTGGTACTGGAATTGAATTGATAAGCTATATATGCATTAGAAAGTGAACATGTACACCGGAGTCATCGGTTTAAATCGTTTGCATTTCCTTATCGTCTCTGTTTTTCTTCGATTGCAGCTTGTTGAAGATATGGAACATGAACAAGTACACCGGAGTCCTCGGTGTTTACAACTGCCAAGGTGCAGCATGGAACAGAGCTGCAAGGAAGAATACTTTCCACCAAACCAATACGGACTCCATAACAGGCCATGTGAAGGGTCGTGACGTCCATCTCATTTCCGAGGCCTCGCTGGACCCTGAATGGCCCGGTGACTGTGCAGTATACTCCCACCGGACCCATGAACTAATCACCCTTCCATACAATGCATCCATGCCGGTTTCCCTCAAGGTCCTCGAGCATGAAATCTTCACACTAACACCTATCAAGCACTTGGCACCAGGGTTCAGTTTTGCACCCTTGGGACTTATCGGCATGTACAACTCCGGTGGCGCCATTGAGGATCTAAAATATGAAGTTAAAGATGGAGCCAAACTATCTGAGCTCGATATCGGATATGAAGGTGAAAGCAGTGGTCTTGTCGGTGCGATGGTGGAGAATTCTAGCAATGAATTGGTAGGAAAAGTATGGATGGAGATCAAAGGTTGTGGAAGCTTTGGTGCTTATTCATCAGCCAAGCCGAGGAAGTGCACCGTCGGATCTAGTGAAGTCGAGTTCGATTACGATTCTTCCTCTGGGTTGCTGAAGTTCGGTTTGGGAAGAATGCCGGAGGAATGGAAGAAGGTCCATGTTGTTGAAGTTGAGTTGAGTTAAACGTAGCAGAAGAGTAGTATCAGATTCACAAGAGAGTAGATTTGCCTCCTATTTTTTTACCCATTTTTTTAGGTTTCATGTATTAAATATGGAGTGAAAAAATTGAAATAAAAGTTTCTTCTTGCTATTAAAGCTTAATGTACCAATTTGAATATGGATCAAAATTAGAGTACGAGATAAGTATTCGATCGAATCGAACAAACTTAAATGAATCAAGATAACTGTAAAAGCTTAAAACAAGGTATGCTATATTAAAAATTCCTCAAGTAATTAAGGTTTTCATGTCCATGCATCCATACAAATACAATTGTTTTCTAATTGTACAAATTAAAAACCTAACAGGTGAAACAGCATCCTAACATGACTACATCTAAAATTCCATTTTAACTAGTGCATTTGATGCTACGTCAGATCCATGATGAAGCCAGTCCTTGGCACAGATCAGGGCTTCCACAGTCTCTGGTCGCAAGGAGCTTCGGTACTCGTCTAGTTGCTTGATTGTGATATCAAAGACCGAATCAGAAGCAGCAGCCGAAACTGGAATCGACAAAATGTCACGAGCCATCTTTGAAAGTGTTGGATACTTCATCTTGTTCAGCTTCCACCACCCTAAAACGTCGAAGTCTTGGACACGAGGCAACAACGACTCTTCCAAGTACTGATACAGCTCAGATTTCATCTGCTGGTTGCTAGTCTCCATAATGTAGACATCGAAATCCAAAAGTCCTTGGTCCGAAAGAAGGTTTCCTTGATGAGACTCGTCGCACTTCCCGTTTCCAGCATTGCCATCTTCTGCATAAGTTGGTGTCAAAGGCAGTGGAAGCGCTACATATTCAATAAAGAGCTCATTAATTCCATCATCAACAATTTTGATATATGTGGGAGCATCTTCACCATATATCTTTGTGAAACTGAACTCGACAAGCTTCATCTTGAAACGAGGATCCATGACCACAGCAATTGCCAAAATCAAGCTACAATCCCTCCAGTACTTATCAATCTTTTCTTGCATCGACTTAGCAAGATTGCTGATGAATGGATCCTCGCTAGTGATCGAACGACCCAAGTCTGCATGTATTTTCCAAGCTTCATGAAAGAAAGTTATTGCAGTAGGGTTAGTTTTAGTTGTAAGGATGCTAGCTGCATCGAAGAGAGGTTTCAAGAAAGTGCATAAAGTCTCAGCCAGCTTCCAGTCTTCCACCAACGGAGCTAGCTTATAATCCAGATCAGATGTAACCAAACAGTTAAACACTTCCTTCAATTCGGTAGCAGCTGCCAGCATATGGTATGTTGTGTTCCACTGAGTTTGATCATCAAGAATCAGGCTCTTTTCACTTGGCACTTGAAGCTGGTCTTTAACATGGACAAACTTTTCATCATGCGAATCTGAAGTCATCACGTACTTTACACTATCACGGATTTTCTTGACAATCTCTTGCCCTGCACCGAGCACATCCTTTACCATGCTGCTCAAAGTACGAGCTACACAATTTCCAAGTAACAGTTGACCATTAAGAATAAGGGGATTCTTTGTACAGAGCAGAGGTCTAAGATTTTCAAGCCCGGCTTCAATTGTAGGATGATTGAAGGTGAGGGAAAACAACTTGCCTTCCAAACTCCAGTCTGATAGGCAGGCAGCAACAGCATGACTTACAGCAGAATCGGAATCGGGATATGGTTCCATTATGACATTGAAAACACGTCTTTGCAACTTCCATTCGAAATCAATGAAGTGTCCAGTTATAAATACATAACCCAGTGTTTGTTTCGAAGTCCACATGTCTAGTGTAAGACAAACACGCCCGGGAATACCCTCAATAAACTTCATGACGCTTTGCTTTTCCCTGAGGTAAGTTGCAACACAATCCCCTTGAACGGTGTTGAAACTGACTTTGTCAAACCGAGGCTGAAGATTCTGAACAAAAGCTATGAATCCCGGATGCTCAACCATGTGAAGAGGGTACTCGTGCATGATAATCATTCTCGCAATTTCAAGGCGGCAACGGTCCTGATCAAATGGTATGAAAGGTGAGCTCGGAGTTCTATAGCGCCGTTTTCGTGTTTCACTTCCACCAACCGTTGGTGTATACGAGGAGAATTGATTGTTATCCTGGTCACGTAGGAACGCCCGACAAGTACCTTTAGCAATGTGACGTTTGAGGTGGCTGGTCCCTGCTACCTTGGAACCAGTACTATAAGCGAAACTTTGTTTGCAACGGTTACAGCATGCTCTTCTACATCCAGGACTCACGTTTTCGATGGTGAAATACTCCCAAACCATGGACTTCTTTTTCCTTCGCTTAGGCTGCGGTTTGGGCTGCGTTTCAGGACTAACAAGAGCCAGCTCATTCTTATTCTCCACCGGGGCAGTTTCCATTTCGAGCACTTCTGTCATTTCTTCCATTTTGATCTAGAAGTAAAATTCGCAGCTGAAATCAAAAGAAAACTTCAAAAAGGAATTCATAACATCCATACATATCAAAATAAAAGAGCAGCTCCAATTACCATTAAGGTTCAATAAGCTCATCAAAACAGAATCTTATCAGCTTTGAGCTGCAAAAAACAGTCTGGAAACTACATACTATACGGAATAGTTGATGAACATCACTATAGACAATGAACTCTAAAATTCTACCCACGAGCTGGCAATCCATGATCAAATATAAGTAGGACGGTAAATGAGATGAAACGGATCATGAACTATTCGAGTTCGACTCGGTCAATACTAGAATCAAATGAACTCGATTCAAATTCTTAACGAGTCAAAACAAGCTACTTTATATCAGACTTGAAAAGATAATATATTTTAATTTTAATCTTTAAATTAAATTATTAACAACATTAACATTTATATGTTGTTTTCTTAAAAAATACTATAAGGTTTTTATGTATTTAAAGTTCATATTTCAACTTGAGTTGGAGCTTCAATCAAGCTAAGTCTGAAAATATTTCGGGTCAAAATCTTTCTGGGCTCGAATCGAGTTTCTATTTTTGATTTCAAATCTAGCTTAAAAATTTGAAGCTCGAGAGCTTTCGAATCGAGTTTCGATTTTGATTTCGAGTTAAGCTTAATAATTTTAAGCTTATGAGATTTAGAATCGAGTCAAATCAAACTCAACTTTAAACTGTAGAGTAGAGTGGAGATTGACCCAGCTTGTTTGCATATGAGTCAGGCATTTCACATCTGAGCAGACCCAAATTATGCACCAGAGCTAAACTAGGCATTTCACATCTGAATGGCCTTTTCTAACATCGTCTACGTTTTACATAGCACAAAAGAGGAAAAAAGAGTAGATCTAGGGTTTCAAAATTATATTTTCGAAAAAACATAATAAACATGAAGAAAAAGGAAAAGCCCAGATCAAACCCAATTCGATTTCAAACGCAAACTTCCCAGAATCCAGATCAAGAGCAACAAACAAAACAAAACAAAACGTTAAAAACCCAGATCAACAACAAGAGCAAAAAGACCCATTAACATTACAGAGGCAAAACATGAGCTTAAGAATAGGGGACTTTCAATAAGTACATACGAAAGTATGAAATCACCAAATGAATTCATATAAACAGCAAATCAGTTTCAAAACAAAAACTCCAACTTCTGCAACTTATATAAGGACAACCCCCCCCCCCCCAATAATTTCTCATGCTTGATAACACAATCGAGAGCAATCATCGTTAATTCCCCCACAACACTGAAACACCAAGCGTTTAAAATCGAAGCTCAAAACTTTACAACAACATAGCAAACACTAAAGAAAGGAAGATCGGACAGATGAGGAAAAACCCAAAATTATGTTAAGAGGAGGAGAATTTTACCGGTCAAAGCCCCAAAGAAAAGCGATCTGGGAGCGGATAGGAAGGCCGGAAAGTGAGGCCCGTTGAAGGGGAGACAGATCTAGGGTTTGGGGGAGGAGGAAGACGAAGAAGATTTGGGCTTTGAAACAATCATCTGCCACTCTCTCTTTTTTGGTTTTGGACTTTTATTTAGGGTTTGGTGGGAAGAACCAATTTGACTTTGAAAGGCAGCCCAATTGGCAATAATGGCTGGTGTTAGGGGTATTTTGGGCCAACTACATTCTTTCATCAAATTAGGAGATTTATTTGTAATATTGTTAATAATTGAATGACTTATGATGTAATTTATTCAATATAAAGTTATTAGAATTTTTTTTAACAGTTCTTTTTATGGTTTATTTCATTTTTAACAATAACGATATGTTTGTGACAATCGATTAATTAAATGGTTTATTTGTAACCTTTTAAAATTAGATGACTTATTTATATAATTTCATTAATAATTGAATGACTTGTTATGTAATTTACCCTAATTTTAATTAAGCTTAATTGAAAAAAAAAGACTTTAGGTACTTCAAGTGAAGAATCAGTTATGGGGAAAAAAGTCCTTTAACTGTATCAATGGATTTATTTATTTATTAATTTGGGTAAGTACATGGTATGCGTGTAAGGATAACTCTTAATCATTTGATATTAAACACTCACATCCTTGACATTTGATATTATCTACGCTTGGGTTTTTTTTGTCAACTCGACCCGATCCGAATATATATATATATATATATATATATATATATATATATCTCCACCTAAAATATTATTCGACCTAAGTTTAGAGGTGACTTCATCCGACTAGAATCATACTTTACTTTTTAAGATAAAACCCGAATCTGACCCGACGTTCCTCGAAATAAATATATTTATAAAAAAATATTATTTTTATTCAATAAAATATGGATCTAATTGGAAAAAATATAGAAGGTTATTATTACAATTATCCCTAAATATCCAAGGTAAATTTATATTATTTTTTGGGTTGAGCCGATTATTTTTTATCATAAACCTGAACTCGACCCGACTCGAACATATTTTCTAAAAGGCTCGACCAGACTTGACTGAATCTGAATTTTTTAAAGAAAATTGACTCGATTGATTCAGATTGAAACCCGTCGAATTCAAATATCATACCCATCCCTCTATAGAAAACATTTAACAATTATACTTAATTGCAGTTGAGGTTAAAATATTTAAATATTTCCTGATGTATTTTATATGAAACAACCTTTCACCTCAATATGAGTTCTTTAAAAAAAACTATAACACACGTAAAGATA